AGAGAGAGAGAGAGAGAGAGAGAGAGAGAGAGAGAGAGAGAGAGAGAGAGAGAATCTGTGTATGTCTATGTGTATATGTCTGTGTCTGTGTGTCTGTGTCTGTGTGTGTCTGTGTCTGTGTGTATCTGTGTGTATGTCTGTGTATCTGTGTGGGTGTGGGTGTATTTGTGTGTGTCTGTGTATCTGTGTGTGTATCTGTGTGTGTGTCTCTGTGTGTCTGTGTGTGTCTGTGTATCTGTGTGTGTGTGTGTCTGTGTGTCCGTGTATGTGCGTTCGGGCGGAAGTGGAGTGGTAGTGCTGGATAGGTATATCCCCGAGGTCCGAAGAGGACACTGGGTGTGTCCCTCTACCACTCTCTACCTTGTTCCCTTGAGACAAGAGTATCTCACCAAACCTGAAGCTTGGGGCTTTGAGGCCAAGCTGACTGACCAGCGAGCCCTCTGGGTCCTTCTGTCTCCCTCTCCCTGCATCCCCAGCAGGGGACACAGGTGGCCATGGCCACACCCAGCCTTGCAGTTGTCCACTGGGGATATAAAATCATGTCTTCATGCTTTCTTAGCAAGCACTCTTACCCGTGGAGCCTCTCCCCAGCCGCAGCTGTCCAATCCTCTCTGTGGTGTCAAAGGTTTCATCCATTCCGGAACCGTGAAACCCTGTAACAAGGTCCCTATTAGTCATCCACAAGATTCAAATACAAAATACAGACAACATAGAATACCTCTTAAATAACACAAGCTACTTAAGAGAACTGACTATCTTTTATTCTAAGATAATGACTTTATTTTTTACATTAGAATATCCTTCTTTGTGAAATGATGATCTTTGTTTTTGTCTGGATGTCTTTAATACATTCAAGACCTATTTGATTCCAAAGATGGAGTCTCCTTCTAGAGTCTCCAAGCAATACTTTCTGATCCCAAACAATGAACCTCACTCTTCCTCCCCCAGGGTCCAATCGCCGGTACCAGGTGAACGCTGTGCACACCAGCAAGGCCTGCAACATAATCAGCAAGTACACGGCCTTCGTGCCTGTGGACATAAACAAGAGGCGGTACCTGCCCTCGGTCGTGAAGTACCCCAACTCCGGTAAGGCATGCACGTTCAAGGGTGGAGCCCCCTCAGCCCATGGGCTTGAGGAGGGGTTGAGATGGCCAGAAAGGGCAGCCCTGCACACAGGGGTGCAAGGCCATGTGAAAGCAGAAAGGCTCCCAGCAGGTGGCTCGGCCAATGAAGAGAAGAGCAAACGCCTTTACTGTATTTGGTTTATCTCAGGAGGGACAATGAATGGCAGAGAGTCCCAAAATGTCTGGAATGATGCAACTTAGGTACAGATGGGTCAGAGTGGCAGCCACCCAGGAAGGGGAGCTTGTACCTCCCTGCTGTTGCCGTTCTGATTTCTCTTGGCAGGTGTCTACATGGAGAGAAATCTAGTGACACATAAGGTTACGGGAGCTAGAACATACCAATACACACTGTTTCCAAAATACAGGTGTGAAGTAGCCTATCCCAGAAAGAACGCTTAAATGCTTTATCTGTAATATAGTGTATTCCATTGCAGGGAGCTCCCATCATCCATCGGGCCCAGCGTGTCAACAAAAGCCTGTCATTCTAGTTACTCAGAAGACTGGTGCCTGGGGATGCAATTCAAGGGCTATCGGGGCTACACACTCAAAGGCTAGCCTGGGCAATTTAGCAAGACCTTGTCTCAAAATAAAAAGTAAAGAAAAGAGCCAGAGCTAAAACTCAATGGCAGAGTGCTTGCCTAGTGTGAGAGCCGCTAGGTCAGTCCCTAGAACGGATGTCTTCTGTTTTTACACTCAGTCCATGTTCTAAAGCATATTTTTGATCATCTAACCCCATAACAGGTTCTGCGAAGGGACTCCATTATTGCCCCATTTGTCAGATGGGGCACAGAGGCAGAGGAGGTTGCATGCCCTGAGGTTACTGAGCAGGACAGGCAGAGCTAGGCTGTGAATCCCAGTAGCTTGGTCCAGTTTGTGTTCTTGCCTCCATCCTGTCTCTTAGTGTATTGTAACTAGGGACTGGCAAGGTGACTCAGCAGACAAAGGCGTCTGCTGTCAAACCCAAGGAGCTAAGTGTGATTCCTGGAACCCACATGGTTTAAGGATAGAAAGTTGTTCTCTGACCCTCGTGTGTGTGTGTGTGTGTGTGTGTGTTTCTGTGATGTTTGCATGTATCTGTGATGTCTGTGTGTGTGTCTGTGATGTCTGCATGTTTCTGTGATGTCTGTGTGTGTGTGTGTGATGTCTGCGTGTATCTGTGATGTCTGCGTGTGTCTGTGATGTCTGCATGTATCTGTGATGTCTGCATGTATCTGTGATGTCTGCGTGTATCTGTGATGTCTGTGTGTGTCTGTGATGTCTGTGTGTGTCTGTGATGTCTCTGTGTATGTGATGTCTGCATGTATCTGTGACGTCTGTGTGTGTCTGTGATGTCTATGTGTGTCTGTGATGTGTGTGTGTATCTGTGATGTGTGTGTGTGTGTGTGAGAGAGAGAGAGAGAGAGAGAGAGAGAGAGAGAGAGAGAGATGTTGTGCATATCTGTGATGTCTGTGTGTGTCTGTGACGTTTCTGTACATGTCTGTAATCTGTGTATATCTATAAAGTCTGTGTGTATCTGTGACATTTGTATGTATGTCTGTGATGTCTATGTGTGTCTGTGATGTCTGTGAGTCTATGTAGACCAGTGATTCTCAACCCTCCTAATGCTGTGACCCTTTAATACAGTTCCTCATGTGGTGATCTGCCAACCATAAAATTATTAACACTGCTACTTCATAGCTGTAATTTTGCTACTGTTATGAATTGTAATGTGGATATCTGATAAGTGACTCCTATGAAAGGGTCACCTGACCCCCAAAGGGGTCTTGACCCCCCCCCCCCCCCGGGTGAGAACAGCTGGTGTAGAACACTTTTCATGGTTTGTTTGTTTTGTTTTAGTAACTCTGGGGTTTTTCTTTTCTGAATTTCACTTTCTTGGTATTTTCAGGGCCTTGTCCTTGGTTATTTTATGTTTGTTTGTTTGCTAGTCTTGCTGAGGATGGAACCCAGGGCCTGGCTTACTGGGCAAGCACTGTACCCCTGAGCTACAGCTTCAGGCCTACAGTTCTTTTTTCCCTTGACCAGACCTCCAGGAAGATACTTAGAAACCAAACATGCTCTTCTCCCCGCTTTTTCTTCTCCCCTGCCCTTTTCCTGATCTGTGTTTCCAAAATGATCCCTCATTCCCAGCTCCCCATTTCCAGCCCAGTCCACCAAAGCTGGACCAGAGGCTGTGGCCCTGCTGTATCTTCACTCCTGTTTTAGGGAAGCTCCCCTCTCTCCCCTCACCCAGCTCTCATTCTGTGGCCGGCCTGAGAGATGGAGGACCCAGGATAATTACTCCAAACCCTAAAGCTCCTGTAGTCCAGTCCAGCTCTTCCCATATGTGAGCTAAGAAACCAAAGCCCCTATTTCTTAGCCTGTAAATAGCTGTCTAGTGCAAAAAATAGAAAACATCAAGTCAGGAAGAGCATTCAAGGACCCTGGGTTAAATAAAGCCTGAGGCTTTCTCTGCTGCAGGGGGTCTCAGAGCCCTTAAAGTGTTGGTTCACATCAAGATGCTGGGGAACAGACTGTGGTCTACAGCTTTTTCCAAATGAATTCCCCAACAAGACTATTATTTTCTGTTTATTTGTGTATTTGTAGATGTGTGACCATATGGGTGCTGTGTGTGTGCGTGTGTGTGTCCACATATAGAGGCCAGGGGTCAACCTCAAATGTTGTTCCTCAAGGGCTGTTTGAGACAGTCTCGTTGGCTGGAAGCTCAGTGAATAGGCTAGCTGGGTGGACGGATGGTGAGTCCCAGGCATCCTCCTGCCTCTGCCTCCCCAACACTGGAATCAGAAGTGTACACTACTACGCCAAACTTTTTTCATGTGGGTTCTAGGACTCAAACTCAAGTCCTTACACGCTTTACTGACTGAGCCGTCTTCCCAGAAACACAGATCTTATTTTTAAGAAACAGCGGATAGGCTAATGACCTCTGAGAATGTGGCCTCCTAAGTACACTTTAGGGAGTTGGCTTCACCCTTCTGCCTTCCATTGGCAGTGCTTGGGGCTTCAAGGATCGGTGTAGGAGAAGGGGGCTGGGACATGGGACATTTCACAGTATGTCAGCAATTACATTCACCTGGTGACAGAGATTGTTATCCCCATTTTCCAGATGGGGAAACTGAGGCTCAGAGTTCACATCCTATCCAGCTAGTGCAGGATGGGCTGGAGTATAAACCCAGGTCTTTCTGGCCCCAAGGCTCTTCGTCTTCTGTTATGCCTTGCTTGCCTTAACTGAAGGTTGGCTGTTGTCAACCTTGGGAAAAGGGCAAGAAGCAACAGGTTCACGCCCATCTGATGCCTTGACCTTCCTTGTCCTCCGCGAAGGTGCCACGCTTCGAATGGTCAGCTTCCGGAACCTGACCCGACAGTGGAAAGGCTTGTCTTCTGGTGTTGGAAGGTCCCAGACCATGCTTAGAGAACACGCCTCAGCTGCAGGAGACAGCCAATTCCAGACCATAGGTAAATGCCATTTCTGTGCCCAGAAGTGCAGGCACCCCTACGTCCAAGGCCTCAGGGCCCTCTCTCTGCATCTGCAATCTTGGACCCCCTAAGCAAGGAGACGACAAGGTCAAGTCTCTCGGGTTCTGGGGGTCTACCGTAGGCACAGGGGTTTGATATAACTCCAGTACACAGCTTTGTACAGAGGCAGGAAGCAGGAAAAGGCAGTCAGGGCCTTTCCCCAAGGCCTTCCTGTACAGTGTCCCCTCTTACCCTCAGCTGCCGGCTCTTCAGCCTGTGGCTTCTCCCCGACACCAAGTTCTGGGAAACCTAATGAACAGGAGCAAGTGATGAGCAAAGAGGCCGTTCCATCTGCCCAGGTCCCACCATCTGCTGTTTTCTGGATTCCTAGCACCATCCTTTCAGCCTTCACCTGATTGCCTGGTGCTCAGAGAACTGTGGCGTGACCTTGAGCTGATTGACAGGCTGGCTACTCTACACCTGTCATCTATGCCTCTATACACACCCTGCCCTGCCCTCTGTTGAACATATGGAGGACACCAGAGGCCATGCCCTGAGTCTCGTCAGCCACCCACACTGTAAGAATGTTTCATCAGAGGGAAGAGAGAGCTAAAGAAATACTAGAGTACTGGATACCCAGAGCCATTCTTCAGAATTAAGGACAATGTCTTGGCCTCTTTTTGTCCCCAGCCCCAGGGGACCTGCAGAGCCCAGCCAATGAGTTTCTGGAACTTTCCCGTCTAACTGCTCCTTCTCTGCATCTCAGCCCTCAGCGGGCAGAGGCTTCCGCTGACATGGCAAGCTTCTTCCTCCCTGCCATGCTTTGTTCAGGCCCCACATCCCCAGCCCTCAGCTCTTACTCTGCCCCTACTGAAGGTGGTGAGCGGCCTTGCTGAGAGGTCCCCTTGTGCTCGGCTCTCTCCTCGCTACTATGAACCCCTCACAGGCACCTCAAGAGACTTTCTGTTCCTTGGTCAAGAGAGGAGAAAAATGGGCCCCGGAGAAGTTAGGCGACTCACTCGGGGTGACAGCGTGTGCAGGAATCGAGGCTTGGATTCGGGTTTGGCAGTAAACTGTGACATCAAGCGACACTGCGGTCATCTCCTGGTTGCTTCAGTCAGTCAGTCACCCCATCTCTAGCTCACCCTTGGGCTGAGTGCTGTGGCAATGAGAGCCCCTCTTCATCTGGGGAGACTGAGGCTTTGCTGAACGTGTTTGGACACGTGCCTCTTTTCTATAGCTTAGACCCTCCCTTCTGTCAGGTTGTCCCGTCAGTCTGACCCCAGAAGGGACAATCACAACAATCGTCACCTTGGTTCAGCATGGTGACTCCCCTGTCGCTGTGATAACAGACCCCCGAGACTAGCAACCGAGGGAGGACAGGGTTCGCTGTGGTTGGTGGTTCCAGGGGGGTGGAGCCCGTTGTGGAGTCAGAAGAGCAGAGGAAAACATGATGTGGGGCGGTGCAGAAAGTTGGCTGATGATGGTCTCATCCACTCACAGGCAGTGAAAGAGAAAGAGAACAGGAAGTGGGGTGAGAATACAAAACCTCAAATCCCAACCCGGTGCCGTGCATCCTCCAGTTAGGCTTGACTCGTAAAGACTCCATAATCTTCCCTAAACTTTAGTGTTCAAATCCATGGGCCTGTGGGGGAGACTTCTCATTTAAATCACAGCAAGCATGGTTATGGACCATGATTCTCATGTCTGTTTTACAGACAGGGAAACTGAGGCTCAGAGCCTTCTGATGAGTCGGGGCTATGTCCTGGTGCCTCCTGAGGACCTAGAAGGAACATCTCAGTGGGCACAGACCTGGGAGATACCACTGCACCCAGAATCTGACTCCCACCCGGAAGCCCCTGCTCCAGGCTTGCCCTGGATTCCCTGTGGGGTCTGTAGTCTGAGGCTTCACTGAGTACTTTGTGATGCAGTAAGCATTATCTGAGAGGTGTCTCACTGAGTCCTTCCAATGGCACTGGAAGACCCCTTAGCCCCAATTTACAGTGTAAACTGATAAAGTGACCTTACCAAGAGCCCACTGCTTAGTGAGTAGGGGTGTTAGGTCTTGGAGCCCAGCATGGTAGGAAGAAAGAATTGGTGAAGGGTGTTCAGGCCCCCTGACATCCTCTGTTGCAGCCCTAGAAGAAAGCCCTGCTTCGACCTTCAATAAGATCCTGTCCCCCACCCACGAGAAGCACACAGCCGCAGAAGGTAAGCAGGCAGCCGGGGCCGAATCTCTTACTGCGTTGGTGGAAAAGGAAAGGTACCAGGGGTAGGGAGGTGTCTCAGCACCAGCAGAGTTCCCAGAACGTCACTGATGTCTCAGGACAGCCACAAGAGATGGAGAGGACTGCCCCCAATTTAAAAACGAAGAAGTTGAGACTTGACCAGGGGAAGCAGTTTGCCCAAAGTCACCTAGCAAGTTCGTGACAGAGTTGGGCCTAGAGTTCCAGTTGAAAGGCCATTGTCCCATTGCACCCAGCATGGCATCCTCTAGCAGGATTGTCAACTCGGTGTCTAACCCAGAAACGGCACCGTTGGTCTGAAACTGTTACAGTCCCGTCAGCCGTCTCCTAGAAGATGCCAGAGTCTGCCTGCAAGAATCCTATAGGGTCACCTGCCCCATTTCTGTCACCCTGCCCACTGCACCTGCCCCTTACCTGTGTCACCCTTGGCCATGCCCCTGCCCCCACCTGTGTCATCCTTGGCCATGCCCCTGCCCCTCACCTGTGTCATCCTTGTCCATGCCCCTGCCCCTCGCCTGTGTCACCCTTGGCCATGCCTCTGCCCCTTGCCTGTGTCACCCTTGGTCATGCCCCTGCCCCCACCTGTGTCACCCTTGGCCATGCCCCTGCCCCTCACCTGTGTCACCCTTGGCCATGCCTCTGCCCCTTGCCTGTGCCACCCTTGCCCACGCGCCTGGGGTGCAGCTGCTGAGCAATCAGCTCTCACTCTGGCACCATCTGTGCATAGGCAAACTCCTGCCCCACTCATAGCCTGTTTCCCCAGATGGGAGGTGACTAAGAGGACATGTCACCATCAAGCCTCAGTCTGTCATTCTGTGACTCTCCAGGTCCTCCTCACAACCTGTCCTCCATGAAGGCCTCTGAGACTCTCTTTGGATCTAAGTAAGTGGAATTTTCTCTGAGGACACGATGCTTCGTTCCTTTTCCCATCAAAGGCAGAGCCAGCCTCGCCCCACGGGTGCTGAAAAGCCCTGCTACCTAGAGCCACCACCATGGGCTGGGTCTCTTTAAACCTTGGAAGGCCAGTAAATAGCAACTTGTGTCTTTGCTGTGAAAATATTACCTACGCAAAGCAAATTCCAGAGGGTGTATCTTGGGCTTATCTAGTAGAGGTGCAGTCCAACACCACGGGGAAGGCATGGAAGCAGGAGCGTGAGGTGGCTGGTCACATCACGCTGCAGGAAGGACGCAGAGAGAGATGAACTCGGGCTCAGCTCGCTTTCACCTTTTCATTTAGTCCAGAACGCCAGTACATGGGATGGTGCTGCCCACGTTTAGGGCGGGTCTTTCCTCCTCAGTTAGCCCAGAGAGTCAGTCATCTCTTCATTGATCTTCGAGCCTGTCAGGTTGTCAGTATTAACAGTCACAACTATCTTTGGAGTCTTCCCACCCCTGGACTCAGTTGGACACGGTACCCATAGACAGCCGTGAAAAACACCGACCCGTTCATTGCTCCATTGTTGCTAACAGAGGAGGTAGGGACGGACATACCCCTCTCTCCAGGCCTCCATTTCCCTGGCTGTCAATGAGGAGATGGAGAAACACCATATGTTAGGTTCTTCTGGCTCTGCCTTTCAGCAGCATCTGGGCAGGTACCAGAGGGCTGGGTTGACCAGAGAACCTGTTTCTGTCTACACAGATTGAATCTCAACAAGCCCAGGCTGCTAACCCGAGCTGCCAAAGGTTTTCTCAGCAAATCAATGGCCAAGACCCCAGAGCCAACTCCGGGCAGCCAGAGCTTGGACTACATACCGGTGGTGAGCTCCAGATCTCAGACTCCTCCTACCCACCTCAGCCCCCTCCCCAGCTTATGCCTTCCCCTCTTCAAAGGGAAGGGACCCTCCTCCCAGTCCACCTATCCAAAGAAATTCTGAGCTTCCTCGAACTCCCCACACAAGCAGCCACCAAGGCAGAGGAAGCAGCCGGGTGTGCATGTTAGCCAGTGCCCGCGTCAGGAAGTTTTTCTACACGTGGCTGTCCTTACCTGAAAAATTCACAGGACTTTGGCACTGTCCTACGACCTCATCCACTTGCCTGCTCTCAGTACATAAAAGTAAGCCTTGAAATGACTCGTAGGTGAGTAAAAGTCACTTCCTGAGGACATGCCCCGACTCCAAAAGTGGTTCTGTAGGTGGCCCAGGGTGCCACGGTGGGAAGAGAAGCCTGGCTCTTCAGTCTGCCTCTCTGAGTCAAGGAACAAGGCGAGCAGGTCCTACCACCTCTGAGTGTCCCTGAGCTGGGAGTTCATGGGGCGCATGAAGGAGAGGCACAGTTTTGGGTACATCACTTCAGGTGTCCCTCCCTCCATACCCAGGTGTGTGTGTGTGGCATCATTTGGCATCCCCAAAAGTCCAGGTCAGCTGAGCACTTACATATATGGTGGCTGTGCAGGGGTTAACTGAGCCTGCTCAGTGCAGATCCTGGGGAGATGACCTGGAGTTAGATAAATGTAGTTCCTGGGATGAAGCATCCCGTGGAAGGCAGACTAGGAACCAGGCAATCTGACCCCTTGGGAGAAGTGGGGGGGTTGCTTTGGTGGGAAATACAGGTAAGGCCCTGGAGCCTGAGGCGGGGGTGCTGACAGAACGGACTCCCGAAGAAGGCAGTGGTTGAGCCAAGACCTGACTCTTAAGGAGTCATGGCCAAAGGCCCTGAGAGGAGATAGCTTGGCATCTGGAGAATGGAGCTGAGGGGTGGAAATGCAGTAAAAAGAAAAAGGGGGGGAAGGTGGTGCAGGGTTTTATAAATCACACACTGGATTTAGTCTAATAGAAAACTGAGTAAGTGGGAAATTGGTCCGGGCCTTCAGAAAATATGTTTCCTAGGCTTTGTGGAGGGAGGGCCCTCTGAGTGCAGGACAGATGAGCAGATGTGGAGGAGGAAAGAAAGGGGGGCAGGGAATGTGTGAGAAGGCAGGCAGTGGGCTGTAGCCTGTTAGGACATAAAGAGTGACCAGCATGCATGCAGGAATAGGAGTGAGCAGACTGGAGTCTGCTGGACAGGCCTCAACAATCCCAGTGACCAAACAGAGCCTCCACAGGGTGAGAGACAGGTTTGGAGCCAGGATAGTGAGTTTAGCTTAGAGAGTGATTGACCCACCGTGCTGAAGGATAAAATGAAGCCTTGCCCTGTTGACTTGGGGCATCCTGAAAATAGGCAGAGTGGGCAGGAGGAGATGACCGAGCAGACTATGCGGATCTGGATTTCATGTGGTGGGGAGCTCCATGGCCTGAGAGGTTTGAAGCCCACCGAGATGCTTCTCCGCCCACAGGTGTCTCTGCAACTGGCCTCAGGAGCCTTTCTGCTCAACCAAGCCTTCTGCGATGCCATCCAAATCCCCATGGAGAAACTCAAGTGGACCTCACCCTTCATCTGCCTCCGAATGTCCCTCGCCACCCGCCGGCGCAATTCGAAGAGCCAGAGTCCACAGCACAGTCTGTTGTCTCCATCCCCACCCTACGAAGACCCCCTGGAGGCCGAAGCTGAAGGCAGCCCAGACCTGGAGCCAGGCGCACTGTTGGAGCACACGGGAAAGCTGTGGGCCACCGTGGTGGCACTCGCATGGCTGGAACACAGCTCGGCTTCCTACTTCATCGAGTGGGAGCTGGTCGCTGCTAAGGCCAGCTCGTGGCTGGAGCAGCAGAAGGTGCCTGAGGGCTGCACGGCAAACACACTCAAGGCCACCGCTCGCCAGCTGTTTGTGCTCCTGAGACACTGGGATGAGAACCTGGAGTTCAATATGCTCTGTTACAACCCCAATTATGTGTAGGGGAGGGGGAGAGGGACGGGCCATTTGGGTTGGTAGGGAAACTTTTTGAAAGTGTAGCCAATATAGTGTTCCTAGAAAAAGCCTTGCACACTGGCAGTGGGTGGGCCTGAATTCATTTCCAACCTTGCTACCACCTACTAACTTTAGATAAGTCACTGTCCCATCAGGGCCTTCGTTGCCCATCTGCGAAACAGGAGGGTGAGAGAAGGCTGTTTACTAGATTTTTAAATGGCTTCAATATTTCTTCCATTCAGACCTTCAAGCTCCAGAACTTGCTGCTACTGGGGTATGGCAAGAGAAACACACACACACACACACACACACACACACACACACACACGGGGTTGGGGGAGAGTTTTCCCTGGAGAAAACCCATGTTGGTGTGCACTAGAGAGAGCAATGCCCTCTCCAATAAAAGGTAGATAAAAAAATCCATCAAAGATAAGCAACCAGAAACATAAGCTTGCTCTAGGCACCAAAAGACCTCTGTTTATTGCATTGTGGGATAGGCTTGTGTCTCCATGGTAACAGTCCAGGGGGTCCAAATTCCACTAGGAAGCCAACCAAAGAACCATTCCTCCCAAGACTTTGCAAGAAATTCTTCCTGGTAGTTGAGTACTGCATGATAGGTACTAAGTTTGGCTTCCTGTCTAAGAAGAAGGGCACGACCGGGAATAGTTCCTGTCCAGTGAAAACAGTAGATTGCAGTCTGCAGAACTAGTCTAGAATAGACAAACTCACAGGAGTCGGTGAAGAAACCAGACTTATTTCCATGCCTTCCTCTATTGGATAAAGTGACTCCATCCATTGGTACAGAGGGGCTAGAGTGCCTCTGTGTGCACTGCATTCTGGGATAGTGGAGATGTGGCCATACCACATTATCAGGCAGAGAGAAAACGTGATGGCAGCAACAGAGCAGGTTTGGCTGGAATGTGTCTGGAGATGAGAGGGGATAGAAAGGCCATGAAACTTTAAAGCATGAGCTATGGGCCACCCCCCACCAATCCCGGAACACCATGTGATAACCCTGAGCTGGTGTCAAACTGTCTAGTATCTCCCCTCCCTCTTCACACTTCCCCAGAAGAATGTCTAGATCTCACCAAGGACACTAGCCCAGGACCCTAGACAGAATCTGAAGACCCCATAAAATCCCCTCTTTCTAAGGTCTTAGCATATCATATTTGCCTCCAAAACATAGTCCCTGATATGAAGCCCTACAGCGCTTCCTTTTCAGTGAGACAAATCTTGATTAAACCAACCCATGGCTGTGGGTTGGGTAACAGCTCCATGAAGATGCTACAGTCTGTATCGGGAGCTAGCGGCAGGGATGCTTCCACAGAACAGCCGCTGAGTGAAGGGGCGAGAGACAGGCCCAACAGGACTTGGGTGCTCTGCTCCCTGCCCTCAGGTCCTGCCTTGCCTCCGGCTACACTGCCGCAGCTTCCCAGAGAGTCCCTAGCTGTCTGATCGACCCTTTTGAAGAGACAAGTCCCTACTTCACTGAATGCTTCCGCTTCCAGTTCGCCCTCTGGGGAGAAACAGCTCCTGACCTCAGATGGGGCAGAATGAAATCTTGGGCACTGGCTTAGCATCAGTGTCCCCAAGAGAGACAGGGATTTAGATTGTCTTGCCTGAGGTCCCAAGGAGGTATGGGAGAGACTTGTCAACTCCCCTGCTCCATCAAAACCCACACTATTTTATCTCCATGGCCAGCAACCCTTGCTTCTCCAGGATGTCAAGGGTAGTGTCCCCTAGCTGGTCATCATGACAGGAAAATAGTCAGGCTGAGAGTCAAAACATTGGATCTCAGTCCCGATGCTCCCTCAGACAGTGAGAGACTCCCCTTCTCTGGGCATTTTAGGGTCCATGCACTTGTTCCTGCTTACGTCCCCAGATTCCCTCTTGGTAAGCTTGAATTTGCTCTGCTTCTGAGTAACTTTGGACATGATGTGTGAGCATCCAGGAACCTCTCTCTTTCTCTAGCAATGAGAAAATTGGACAGCCTAACCGGAGCCTGCCTATGAGCTTGATCCCAGAACCTCAGGACCTGGAGAAGGCAATGGCCGTGGCTTGGAGCAGTCCAGTTCTCGCCCAGCATGGAATTAGCACAGTGGGATGCCTAGAGAGATAGATTGTATCCGTGCATCAGCTGCCAGAGCTCAGCAGTGTGTTTAATGCAGAAGTCACCGCTGAGCTCTGCAGCCTGGACTCACTGTCCCAATACCCTAGAACCAAGGAGCAGATCCCTTGGTATCCAATAACCCAAGGACTGGGGAAGGGAGTGTCTGAACAAAAGGCATTTGTAAAAACTGCTCCGGTGGTATTTCGACGACTTGCAGCCTCGGTAGCCACTGCCTGCTTCACCAAGCAGAAGGTCAAAGGGTTGGACCTTAAGGGAAAGATCAGAGCCCTAGGTAGTGAGCACATGCCTAGAAACTAAAGTGGTGCAAAGATGGAGGGGCACACTATTGTTCCTGCGAGCTACGTGAACTTGAATTCATTTTATTTGGTTTGTTGAGCCAGCTTCGCCTTCCAGGTCATGCCAAAGGGACACTGATGTCCTCGCTGTGTGAAGAAATGCCCACTGAGACTGTCCAGCCAACCTCTACACTGCTTTTCGTGGTTAAAAACATGGGCCAAGAACTGAGGAGCCTGTGTGTCGGACCCAACCCAGCCACCATTGCACTGTGTGACTTCTGGCAAATTGCTGTCTTCCTCCAAGGCCCTGTTTCGTTTTTTTTTTTATATATATAGAATGATAGAATTCTATTAGGTGCCCGCTTCCAAGCTTGTTGCTTACCTACAAGAAACTTCTGTCTGTCAAACACACAGGGGAAGCCTCAGAAAACAGACATATGCAGGAAAGGAAGCTAAAGGGTTAATGGCACCACCACTTTCCAAGGAGGTCACCCAGAAGGCAGCTCTTTCAAAGGTACCCAGTTGAAAACAATGCTGGCGGCGGGACATTTCCCTGGGCTGGTGCTGATATCCAAATGGCTTTTATAGAGTGCTTGCTGCATGGAATGCATGTGTATTGCCTCTGTGGGCACACCAGGGGCCATCCCTGTCCCTTGGGAGTCTGGGAAAGAGTATTGGAAGAGCTCCCATGACCCCTCTGGCACTCCTTGGTCCAGGGCCGGTGTGTCTTGACTATTCTCCAGCGCCATTGTCTTGCCGAGTGTGAGCATAGCCTCAGCCTTGCACTGTCTGAACACCGCTGACACTAACTGGCCTATCTCTGAGTACTTGGACATTCTCGCTGGCGTGTGGACAAGTGGCCACAGTAACACAGAAAGGAGTGCCCAGTGTCCATTTGGTCTACCGCCTGCCCTAGGCAGACTGTGTCACTAAGGCTACTCAGCTGAGGAGTCCGACTCTGGAACCCAAGGAAGCTCAGTCTCCCACTGAGTAACATGGCCCACACTGCACTTGTGAATTTGTGGTCTTGGTTTCCAGTCAGGTCCCTGTTTGAGGGCAAGCGGTGTGTCTGCGATGGCCTGAGCAAGCATGGTTGTGGCTGATGAGTGGAGCAGCCCCTCCCAACACCCACCCCGGTGATTGCCATCCGCCCTTTGGATGAGTGAAAAAGGAAGACCCCCAGCCCAATCCTGCTTGCTGATTCACCCATCACTAAAGGTTTCTAGGAGCTTCCTCTTAAATCCTGCCTGCACCCCCCCCCCCACACACACACACCGACATCTTTATTTGAGGGCCAAAATTCCTCTGCTGGCCACTGCCCCGACCCTCTCCCTTGGCAGGGACTCTTCAAGGAGAGGATGTAGAAAAGAGTCTGCTCTACCTGACCACAGTGGTCTCCTCCCCAGAGACTGGCTATCCCATCTCCCTGCCTGGCTGGAATAAGCCTGACATGCCAGTACTTGTCATTTGAGATTTTAAATCCTGTCTCACTCTGGCACACTAACACCTCAGAGTAACCCCAGGAGGAAGTGCGCTCTGCATCCTTAGCACCCCGAGACAGAAGAGGGAAGGTATGGGGCATGTGTCTGTTTCCTCAGCAATGGGAGGAGTTTTTTTTTTTTTCCCATAGCGAACTAAGGACAGCAGAGGCAACAAAGAGACACGCTCCTCCATTGTAACATGGCTCTCTCTCCAGTGCCACCGAAGATAACAGGGCCATGCGTGGCATTGTGCAGCTGAGTAACCTGATCCACGGAGATCTGTCCCCAGGCCGTGGACTTGGTGACCTTGCCCAGTCAGTACTACAGTTTCCTAGTGGGGAGTGCCCTGACCCCTGTGTCCACTTCTGCCCTGACCTGGTGTCTCTAGCCTCACACCAGCGCTGCCTCCCCAGATGACCCGACACTACCTTTGTGAGATGTCTCCTGTTAACGCTGCAATTTGCCCAGAGTCTTGGTCCACTTGTCCTGGGCTTAGAGCCGCTTCTAAGGCAAAGCGCCTGTCTCCGTGCGTTCGTGTGGTGATGCGGTATCATTTTAACTGTTTGCTCAGGTGGCTTT